ACCGCACATGGCTTTAAGCGTCCTCCCAATTAGGAAAACAGAACTATGTTAACAAATCTAAAATTATTTGCAAGATATTAATAAAAATTCTTATACGTAGTGTAAACGTATAACAATTATATATTTATCTTTATACTGTATATCTGCCCAATAAAAGCTAAAGGGCTTTAACTCTACGTATAAAATCGGTTCTTAGATGCAATTTGACCAATTTAGCACTATGAATTATGTCAATATGATGTAATTATATAATTTACATTAAGAATTGTTAGAACACAAAAATTTAAGTAGTTCTCATTACCGTTACATCTACATTTCATTAAAATTGATCAGTCTGAATTATGAGAATAAATTAATAATTTAAATTTAAATGTCCATATTAAATTCGAAATTAATTAAAAATCGTGCTTATATCTATAAGTCACTTTTTTTTACAAGTATTCGTTCTTGTATCCTTGAACCTTTTTTAATACGTTGAGTCTCTCAAAAGTAATGTGCTCAACAATTTGATTTATTACTGCACTAAACTCATATATGACGTTTATTTCTATAATTAAATCACTATCGCGAATTTATTATAAAACTTAAAGTGCGATATATGTCATATACTTTTAAGTTATGATAAATTAAGTTAAATTTAATACGTATGCAATATGTCATATACTTTAAATACTACTATATATTGAGAATTTTTGCTTATGCGTACTTTTTTTTCTCACCTATTATCTGGCCTCCTCAGCTCTGGAAATTATTTTAAATCTAAATATTGACAGGACTGCCTTAACAAAAACCTATCAATAATACTAGATTACAACACTAATAGTATATATATTTTTTAATAAAATTTAAAGATTTTAAGAATTCAAATTTTTTAAAAATGCCAAATATTTTTACTTCAAAATTTTTTTTTTTTTTATATAACTATATATATATATATAGCTTTAAAATGTAATAGCTGTGTATTAAGTCTAGTATAAATTATACGTATCGATATATCTTGTTGCTCCCACGATCTTTTGTCACGGGTCATGTACAATATACATATAATAGTTTTTTTAAGCTCCGAGAAAAAAAAAACACGAAATACATACGTACGTATACGTACGTACGTATTATACAATGCAAAAATATAACTAAAAGTAAAAAACATTAAATTTATTTATTGGCTTTAAAATACAGAAATACAACTTAAAGCGAATAAAACTATATATTTAGTTTTTCTTGTTTTAACATTTCATTTTGCGATAAATTATGATTATTTAAAAGTCTTTCTTTACAAAATTATAACTATTTGAGAATCCATATTTCAAGTTTGAATGGCAGCAGTTATGAGAATGCACTCTTTTTTTTACCTTTCGACAATTTTCTTTCGCTTTGTCGTACAGAAGCTGCCTGAACTTGAATGTGTTCTACTACTACGAAATCGCAAAGTATTTCTCTAATTGCAAATAAAATTTTCCGACACAATTTTTATATGTGAATTGTTCATGCATCTTTATTGACATTTATAAATATTTCAATATTAAAATTACCATCAATTTCAATATTATTTTTACTGCTGCAATTATATATACAGTATGAAATATAACTCATACTTAATAAAGACTTCATTTCTTCGGTTTGGGCCATTTTTAAACTAATAAAGAATTTATATCGATATAATATTTTTTTTAATGATTAATCCGGAAATCGGTGTTAACGTAACTTGTCCCATATTTTCTAAGTGCTCTTCAAAACTATCTTCGTCTTCAACCTCTACATTTTCATTTTCATCCATTATACTTCCTGTGCTAATCTCATATATCATTTTCGTTCTAAAATATCCCATTTTTGATTGTGAAAATGATAAAGGCGCATTCCGGCTAATGTGCTCCGCTGTCATCATTGCAAACACTCCACAATCGTATGAATTGTTCTGTTGTGGAGTTCTTTTCTGAAATTCACAAAATTTTTTGTTTCAATAATAAAGAAATTATGAATTTTTTAAAGGAAAAAAAAACGTCTTTATTACCCTCGGTTCATAGACTCCCCACTCAGCAAACTTGAAATGCTGATTATTAGTTTGTTTGGCCAGATATATAAAGAACTCCCTCAGTTCCTACAATGATTGACGTATTAACGTATTAATTAAATTACGTCTGAAAAAAGAAAAATAATTGCTATATAATTTCTACTTACTTGAATAAAACGTAGGTTAAATCCTGAGCCCATAGAATCATAGTACTCGAATCTACGTAGTTTGAAGTTCGCCACGGCTAAAGTCCAATGCGCACCTGTATTAATGGGTATGAATATGTAATCTTTATCAAAGAAATTTGGTGGTGGTGCCTATTTTTATTAAAGAAAACGTTAAAAAAAAGATTATGTAAAATCAAAAATCATTTAAATTCAACAGACTTATACCTTTTTCTTTTTATTTGGCCGTGGGGTGAACCATCCTGCTACAACTCCGAATCCATTTTGCATTAGTTTCGTGTAGAAAAATGTATTTACTACATGAACTGGCGGATATATGTCAGGATTATTTTGAGCTCGTTCAATAATAAGATGACCATAAAAATTCATGACCTATAGAAATATTTTTTTAAAAAGTGGTTCTTGAGTTACTGTAACAAAATTACGTATCGAAAAAAATAGGAAAGAGAAAGGAATCGTACCTCATCATTGAGCCAAGCACCATTAGTCAACGTGCGGA